CCCCAAAACCCCAAAACCCCAAAACCCCAAAACCCCAAAATTTAAACTCCCCGCTGAAACCAGTAAAAATTTCCACCTAAAACAAAAATATTTTGCGATTTACTAAATTTTATTAAGAGATTTTGGGATTTTAGAAGAAATTTGAGATTTGGAGTTATAAGAGGGTGTAGAGGAGGAAGTGGTTAAAATAAATGGGGAGGTACAGATGGGGCTTAGTAGTTGAGGTATCTTCTGTTGTGGGTTCTATCGTTTTTAATCAGTCTTTTGAGTGATTTTAGCAGGTGTTCTTTACTCTTTGATCTTCTTTCATCGTGTTTATTGTTGTTGGTATCTATTTAGGTAGAAGAAGTGGTGGAAAGAAACCTTACCTAAGTCTATAAGACTGTTTCTAATTTCTTTGTATATAGCTTTTTCTTTATTTTGTGAGACTAGTGCTCTTGAAAGATTTTGTTCATGCTCTAGGGAGATGCTGTAAAGGCAAGCATGGTTCTTTACTGTAGATCTTGGTGATGCTAGAAGGGGCAAATGAAGTTATGCGTGAAAAGAAAAAGACTGAGATTATATTTTACCTCTCCCAAACTTGGTAGAATGTTCCTATAGAATTGAAAAACAAATCATACCTTTTGTTTTAATATTTCTACATATGGGGTATTGTTAATTCCAATAGTGTCGAGTTCCAAAGGCTCATTTTTCTTCACAGCAGCCGAAACTTTTGAAAAGATATTATACATTTTTGCCTTTTCAAGCCAATCTTTTGCTTTTACTACCGACTTTACTCGCCTATCTTATTTATGACTAAGCTGGTAGATCTTACTCGATAATCGCTTTTGAAGTAATTTTGATGTGTCGAGCTTGAACATTTTCCCTAAAGAATTATTTTATCTTAAAAAGTAGCAAAATATCTTAAAAGTATGAAAATAAATGACAAGACTACTTATAGTAGTTGGATAATGTTATTTGAATATTAAGGAAGAGTGGTAGCTTACTAGGGCTAGAAATAGACACCTCATCGCTCTCTTTCTCATTTACATTGAGAAAATGCTGATTCAAAGCTAAGTTGCTGACCATCGATCTCCTTGTAGTGTTTACATCAATACTTTGCGTTTGTTTCTTGTTTTGCATTATATTTACATTTTTGAGCAACCTCATTCTCTAAAAATAAGTTCTAAAATACTTTGCTTAACTTAGATTTTCCAGATTTTTTATTTGGAGTATGTCTAAAAATTATCATAAGACTTGAATGGAAATAGAATGGAGAAGGTAAAAATCTATGGGAGTAGCTCAAGTTCTTATTTTGGAAAATATGAGGTAGCGAATCCAAACAAAATTCACAGATTGGCATATTTTAAACCCTGACTCACCTTTTTGTGCCACTTTGAAACATTCTAGCAAGTTGAAGATTTTTCTTTTTCTCTTCACTTTTTATACAGTTTCAGGAAGACTTTGGTCTCCATTAAATCTCTTCTGTTGAAAATGTCTCTTGGGGAGAACTCCATGAGAGACTTTTGGCAAAATTAATGATTTCTCTAATCCTTGAACCCCTTCATTATCTCTAAAGCCTGATCGCAAAGACTTTACCTGAGGTGGAAGCTCACTGTTCTGCTTGTATCCTTTGCTGGAGATGGGAGTTCTTCCTGGTCAGCTAGGGTTTATATAAATTACACCAACAAAGGAATATGCTTACTAGATTTAACAACAAATTCGTTGATGCATCTCTGGAATCCTTCCTCAATTTTATACAATTTCTTCTCCATATTCATGCTAAAGTTGTATCATGAGAGGGCATTTTTGTAGACTGAATTAGAGAGCACAGATACAGCACTGGGAGCATAAAGAGCAAGTGGAGTTAAGATCTCAGAGTCTTGCCAAGAGGAAGACTTACTTTATATAAATTTATATTTTAAATCTTTTTATTTTATGTAACAGATTTTGTCAATTTTTAGATATTAAATAGGGGTTTTGGGGTTTTGGGGTTTTGGGG